ACCGTAGGAAAATAGATTGAAAGGATAGGTTCCGTCATTGCATTCGCATGTTCTTGCATTTAACCTCCCAATAGTGGGGTCACTTAGTGAGTATTTCTCTAAATACTTAAGTCATGTGCTACTACATTTTTCAGGTTAAGGCAAGGCATTCATGTACGGCTAACGACGGCATCGCAACTCGAGACCCGAGCACATACATAGGATAGTGGTATTTATTTTCTTAGACTTAGGCTAGAATATGATGTTTTTAACTTAAACGCTTATTTATTTTATTTAGTCTTTTGTTGTGTCATTTTAAAGATGTTTTCGAAACACGTAAGTCTATAGTTGTGTTTTAAGATAAAGGTTATGTTTTATGAAATTTAAATGAAGTCTTCCGCATTTAACGTTGATGACACGTATACAGTAGCGACCTTAAATTAAGTAGAAAATTTCGGGTCATTACAAAAATGTACTATAGGGAGAGATATGTTGTTAGCTCTATACCATCTATCGGCCTTGTGGCCCAATTGAGCTACCTTATGGGCGTCTTTCTTTGAAAATAAAATTTTCAAGAACAATATCAGGCGACATGGGCAATGCGTACATTACGCCCCAACCCATGTGTCGAGGTTAATATATGCACCTGCAATTCAATACGGTATCTATAAATGACTCAACATGGTCATGAGAGGATTCGTGTCTCGATAGAACTCGGACGGATGGATGTTGAGATGTCCTGACGATATCGTTGACTTATGAGGTTGGCTCTTGATAATCATGTCTGAGTAAGCAATAAGGGTCAATAACATCTCGAGATTGGAATGTCATCAGGATACGTGGGCCATGTTGTTGAAAACCTAGATGGCAAGATGATAATGGGATGAGATGCGACATTGCAGATGAGAGACCTTGACCTTGAGATGAGGCAGGTCGCTAAAGTCACAGACAATTGAACATGCACATAGGAGTGACATGTGTTGCTAAATAAACTTAGATTCTGCATGAGTTGTGTTCGGTTGGCAAAGAAAAACCTCATCTAAGGTTCGATAAAGCTACAAAGCTGAACAAAAAAATAGGAACGGGACTTCAGTTCTCCTTAAGACTTATCATGAGCCTGTCAATATCACGATACCATAAACGTTTAACATCTTAATATGTTCGTTTTCAGTATATTCATAAACAATATTTTTACTCTACCAACAAGACAAAAACTAAATATAGTAAATTAAGTCAAATGTACAAAATTAACAAATCGACAAATAGATACACAAATCTATTTGTCGATTACAATTTAAGACGGTTACGTGCATATAATTCCTCGAAAACTTTCTTTGATCTCAAGTGTTGCACCGTTTTTTTGTTGTCATCTTTTGTTTGGCCGACCAAGATAAAGGTAGTATTATAGGTTTAGCATTGATGTTGATTCGAGCTGAATCTGCATAATAAAAGGTTTGATTCAAGAGAAAAATGAGAGGTTCGGAATAAATTGGATATGAACCTAAATCTTCTTTTCGAGAGTGGTAAGGAGATAGGAACCTACTAGAGTCGGGATTCATGATAGTGTAACTTGTATAGATATAGTGTAACTCGATTCAGCTTGGTTTCTTCATCAAAGTTGAAGAGTTTTCTACCCGTTTTCCAACGAAACTAGAAACTACTCGTTCTTGAAACTCGTTGGAATTCCATCTTCTAGTGCATTTTGCCTCAATATTCCTTCAAAAAAGTTGTGAAAAATTATCCAGAGAACAACGTACTTAAATTATAGGATCCAATTTTATATAATTTTATCAGATCTGATAAACCAAAACTCAAAACTTTTTATCTCTCGGTATTAAGTTTAAGGTGAAATGACCAAAATATCCCTCTATACCAAACATAGAATTTGACCGTGAAAAGTAAATTCGTTCAAACCCAATTTCACACTTCTATGAAGATAGTAAGATTAGACAATGAGACTCAGTTCCTATCTTTGCAACCATTTTTTACTTCTTGTGGCATTAAATTTCAGCGTCTATACTCCACAACGAAATGGAGTCGTAGAACATAAGCATCGTCATATCCTACATGTAGCTGGTCTCTTCTCTTTCAGTCAGACGTTCCACTTAATTTTTTGGGAAGAATGCATTTTAATTATTGTCTATCTTATAAATAGAACATCATCACCATTGTTATCTGATAAGACACCCTTCTACTCGTACCAAACGGCCTCCAGCTTGGCTTAATGATTATGATATGTCTTCTGCAGTCAATCATTTAACCTCTAGCTCAAGTCTCATCACTAGCACAAGGTATTCCCTTCATCATTACCTTTAATTCTCTCGTTTTGCTCCTACTCAATGTACTTTCTAGCTCTTATTACAGTCCAGACAGAACTTAAAACCTATGATGAGGTAGTTGGCGACCCAGTATGACAGTAGGCTATGAATGCTGAAATTACAGCTTTGGAACATAATCATACTTGGCATCTCGTTCCTCTACCACCTAGCCATAAAGCTATTGGTTGTCGTTGGGTGTACAAGATTAAATGCAACTATAATGGTTCTGTTGAACGTTATAAAGCTCGACTGATAGCAAAGGGATACACTCAGGTTGAAGGTATTGATTACATAAGAGACATTTTCTTCTACAGCGAAACTTACTACACTTTGTTGCTTACTCACTATTGTTGCTGTTCGAAAATGGTTCACTCATCAGTTGGATGTTCAAAATATTTTTCTCCATGTAATCTAAACGATGAAGTATACATGTCTTTACCACCATGTCTTCGCCAACAAGGGGAGAATACAGTATGTCGGCTACATAAGTCTCTTTATAGGTTAAAACAGGCTTCTCGCAATTGGTTCTCCATATTCTCGGCCACTATACAAAATTCAGGCTACACTCCGTCAAAAGTTGATGACTCTTTATTTACTAAGAATAGAGGTACTTCTTTCACTGTTGTTCTTATCTATGTTGATGATGTTCTATTGACAGACAATCATCTTAAAGAAATTCAACATCTCAAGACTTGTTTACTCGAGAAATTCTTTATCAAAGATTTAGGGAATTTGAAATATTTCCCAAGCATTGAATTTTCTCGATCTAAAAAAGAAATTTTTATGTCTCAAAGAAAACATGCTTTAGACATTCTTCAAAACATAGGTCTTACAAAAACACGTCTAGAAAAATTTCCTATGGAACAAAATCTGAAGGTTTCTTTAACATAAAGAGAAAAGCTGAATGATTCAAACAACACCACGGTTAACTGATAGATTAATATATTTAACTGTTACTAGGTTCGACATAGTGTATTTCATTCGTATGCTTAGTCAATTTTTGCATGAACCAAGAAAACCACATTGGGAGACAGCTTTTCGAGTTCTGAGATACATCAAAACCTTGAGATTACAAGTATATTACAATTTTGACTGGGGTGGTTGTTGAGCTACCAGACAATCTATTTCTGAGTTCTGCCTCTTTTTGGAAAATTCAATTATTTCTTGAAATTCTTGAAACCAAACTAATGTGTCCATATCATCAGCAAAAGTCGAGTATCAAACTATGACAAATACTTGTTTAGAGTTAACTTGACTAAGATACATTCTTCAAGACTTGAAAGTTCCACTGTCTAAACCAGAATTGTTGTATTGTGATAATCAAGTAGCATTGCATATAGCAGTCAATCCAATTTTTCACGAATGCACGAAACACATTGAAATAGATTGTCATATAGTTCGGAAAAACGTACAAGCTAGAATCATCGAACCATATTATGTTTCGACTAAAATACAATTGGCTAATTTTTTCATTAAAGTTTTGGAAATGACTTTTCTAGTTATTCCCGCTCCAATGGAGATTGCTTGCTTTCTGGGAATTGGTAATAGTTGGTCTTGGTCTTTGAATCAGAAGTGGTGGCAAGAGAGTGGGAACTAATAGTGGGGATTGATGCATTTCAGTTTTTTGCTACGTGACTGCAGTGCGCCTATCGCCCCGGCACAGCACTATAATAGAAAATGCATGTTGGGTTGAGCAAGAATACAGCGACTAGGGAAAGAGGTCGTAACTTAATTATTAATTACAATAGTAGGGATCATATAGTGAAAGCAAGCGCAACGAGATCAATTAGTATTTTTCTGTTGTTTGTAGAGTTCGTTGGTATTTTGTTCGTGTAGTTGGTTGGAAGTATATTTTCTAGTTATTTTTAGAAGTTGTCTAGTAGACGAACATTAATGAATATCCTACTCTTAATCTCACCTCTGTTTCTCATTCTTAACACATCTCAACGAAGAATTAAGTTTCATTTATGCAATAAAGGCTTCAAGATACGGACTTCATTTATTTTTAGATGGTTACAAATTGATAATAGATAATAATTTAGAGTTATCGTGTTTCTTTAATGTACTTAAGACTTATTTACCTAGTAGCTAATTATGGTCATAATATAAAAGTTACCATGGTGCTAAATGAAAGGTTAAGGGTTTTAATTTTAACGCTAGATAAAGCCATATGCTATTAGAAATTTGAAAAAATGCAGTAAAATGAGCCTTCGTGCTTTTCTTTAGCCAATTCTATAGACGTTAGATTGCATGTAGAATCATTCAAACTTGACACAATCGATCTTACTCGTAGAGTGACTTGAATCTCAAACAAGTGTTCTTGTCTTAAGATATTTAATCAATAGGCACTTGTAGTGATTCCTTATCATTTGATATCAGAGCTTTCCAATTGGGCTGATTTCTTGTGATTCGGTACCCGAGAATTCCTTGAGTTGATTAGTTATAGAAGGTTAATTTTGTAATTCATATTTTTGAATATCGAAAAGTTTTTAATAAATCTTGAAATTTTTAAATTTGTCTAAATTTTCATTTTTTTAATTTAATAATTTGTAATTACCAAAATTAATTAAAAAGAAAAAAAAAGAATAAATGCAACTGTTCAAATTTGAGATAAAATAACAGTGGCCAAATCCTTTTTATTTTATTATTATTATTATTATTATGTATCTTTTGTCTGAACCAACAAAAAATCAAAAAAAAAAAAAGAAAAAAAAAAAAGAAAAAACATCTTCTTCTTTCTCCTTACATCTCTGTTCTTTCAGAAATTCTCTCTCGTCTGTTCGTTCACCCCTGTCTTTTGATTTAAGGAACACCTCTTCTTTTTCCCCTTTTCCACTTCGATTCTTTTACGAATTCCCCTCCTTCACTAGAATCTCGATTTGTATTTTTGTTCAACGATTTGTTTGGTTTCTTTTGTTGTTTTTTTTCTTTTTGTTCTTCGATTGGTGGCTTAGGGGTTTTAGATTTTTGGTTCTTACATGGGGTTGGGTAACGATGACGAAGCGGTGGCGGAAGATGGCGATTATGGTGACGGAGGATGTGGTGCCGGTTGTGGAAAGTCCTTTGGTTCTGTCCCGTGTTCGATCTGTCTCGATGTTGTTGACGATTCTGGAGATAGATCTTGGGCTAAGCTTCAATGTGGCCATCAATTTCATCTTGGTGGGTTTTTTTTAACGGATTCCCCTCTTTTTTGTTCCCCCTTGTTGAAACTTGTGTATTTTGGGCGTAATAATGGATTTAGGGTCCTTGTGATTTTAGATCTGTTTCTTCTTTTCTTTTGCTGAAATTACAACTCTTAAGTTTGTGCTTTTGTTGTTTCAATTGTTTTTGTCAGAAAAGGAAATGGTTTAGATTAGATACATATTTTCTTTTTTGGTTGATTCTTTTATTGTACTTCTTTTGTTTTCTTAGATTGCATTGGTTCGGCATTCAACATTAAAGGGGCAATGCAATGCCCCAATTGTCGGAAGATTGAAAAAGGTCAATGGCTTTATGCTAATGGCTGTAGGTCGTTTCCAGATTTTAGTATGGATGATTGGACCCACGAAGAGGATCTCTATGATCTAAGCTACTCAGAAATGGTAAGCGATTGTCTTTCATTGATTGACTCATGTACGTTACGTTGTGGGTATGCATGGAAATTTTCAATCATCAGGGCACCATGTGAACAAGAACAAGAAGTTAAATTAACCAGGAACTGATAATTGTGATGCAAACTTTTCCTTTCACTTTGGGGAATGTTCTTCAACTGTTCTAGATTTTAATCTGCATAGTCAAAAGCGGTGTCCCATAGGGAGATGGTTGATACTTGGAATCATTTGAAGTCCTCACTGTTTAAAAGGCGAACGAACTAGTTCCCTCTCAATAATTATTACCAAAAATTGTTGCTCCTTTTTTAATCACTGATTATTTTTCGTTTATTTTTAATTACTTCTGTTGTAATTTTTATCTTTTATGGTCTGACATGTGTTAGGTTGACCGATCTTTTTGTGGCCTTCTTAGGTAGTTCTATATCTTTGGTGACAGCAAGTTTTATCATTTAAAATAGTTCATTGTGTGAATTGATTTGAAATGTGCTCGTGGCTGATGCTCAGAAACGACATGCCTAAATTCCATGTGCATTCACGTTTAAATACTTGGGTGTTATAAATCGTGTTTATAGATTTATCTTGCATGAGTTCATATTCTAAATGGGTCAATGACCTGCTTGTTTACTCATTGTATTAAGTTCTTTCCACCAAATTTTAGCTGGAATTTGATTTGTTGCAGGCCTTTGGAGTTCAATGGTGTCCTTTTGGCAACTTAGCTCGACTTCCTCCTTCATTTGAGTAAGTTTTGATTTGTTCATTAATGATATAAGGATAATTGACGCTCTGGTTTTTATGTTGATGTCTTCTTTCTTGGTTCTGTTCCTGTTCTCTAAATTGGTTATATATGATGCGTTGATACTTATTAGTTGGTAACTGATTCCTATCTAAAACTTTACCGCTTGGATTTGGAACTAAAGGCATTTTTTTGCAGTGTAAGGTGGGAGAGAATATGTTGTTTCCTTCTAAATGCTGAGATATCAACTTGAGTTTTGAAAACTTAAATACATCCTTTTCAATAAAAGATTCAAGGAAAGTAACAAATCTCATCGAGAAATCTTAGAGCTTGAATTGTCACATGATTTTAGTTAATAGAATTAAATGTAAGTATGTGGATGGACACTGAATTGCTATTTTTCTGCCTTTGATGTGGGTGATGTCTTTATTGTTCCCCGATAAATTCTGTTCAGAACTACCATCTCAGCGTTACGTTTCTTCTTCTTCTAATATAATTTCATTGATGAGAATGAAGGAAAAAATTCCAGGGAAATACAGAACAGGCATACCAATTGGAAGAAAAGATAGATGGAGAGTACCCACTAAATTCTCTAGTTGGAGGGCTCAATAAGGAAGTACCCCAAACAATAGCATCCCATGTTTCCATTCAATCTCAAAATCTCTTCATCAAAATGTCCCAAAATGTGGCTCTAATGGCATTTGATTGTAAGACATTGGCTTACTTTTTTAACAAGGAGCAATGGAACCAAGAGTGATTTCTATGGTGCACTGAGTTGGGGAGAGAGATTCATATTGAAGGTTTGAAGCAGTTTCCATTGAACATGGAGCAAGGGAAACTTCAATAAAGCTGATCTCCTCTCTTACAAATTATAATCAAGTATGCTTCGGTTGGAGGGAAACGATTTGTACTTTGGACTTAATCATTAGTGTCAAGACCTCTGCCTTTAAGAATAATAATCCATTCAAATACCTTTGCTTCTTCATGTCTTTCTTTCCAGTTGAAGCTTGGAAGATAGCTTTAGAGAGATCACCAGCACCACGTAAAGCCTACAAAGAGAGAGCTTGCCATGAAGGCCCTCAAACAAATGTGTTGATTTGGAAATTTTCATTTTGATTAATTTTGGGTATAATTAACAAGGTTGCCTGATCTACCTTCAATTTGAAGAAAGGAAGGATTTATTTTTTATTTTTTTGTGTTGCCTTTCTTTTATTTGTTCAATCTCTCTTTGTTTATCCATAGTTGATATTGGGGATCTTCATTGTGGCTGGGGTGCCATAGATGTTCTTACAGAAATACAAAAGGTATTACCCTTCTCATACAATATGGTATGAACCTATGAATAGGCTTTTCAAGAACAATAAAAGTTGTACAATGTATGGTAGAGTTTCTTGGTCTAATCATTTGAGGATGACTCCCCCAGAATTCTTGCAAGTGACATGTGTTCGGGTAAAAAGTACCGTAACCATGTAATACTAGCATGTTATGCTCGGTTGACCGTCCAAATTTTAGCCTCCTTGCACTCTTTAGATTTCAAAAGTTCCTGGCTGATCAAGATGAGAATGAATTCAGGCGTCTAGGACGGACATTCTGGAGCTTCTGCTCTTCTTCAGCCATTCTTATAAAGAGGGACCTAGAAAGGGTGGCCTTTGCAATACCAACCAAGAAGGGAGAATGAATGCCTCAAAAATCAACTGTTTCCCTGAGTCATAAAGCTGCTTCTTGGATTGTTGTAGAATAAGTAGGAAAAATGACTTTACTTGAAAGAACGTTACTGGAATGAGAGGGAATCACTTGCCGGTCTTCCTCCTTTAGTAACTCTTTATTGGTAGGTGCACTTATGCCATTTCTAATGGCCTATTTGGTTGTCTTGCTATGCACCACTTGAAACTTTTCATTGAATAATGAAATTTTCTTTGCCTACTTTACAACACGTTAGGGAAGACGATCCTTTCCCTTTCAATAGTGGTCTCGTTCTCATCAACAACGACAGCTGCTGAGAATGATGAGATTCATATGAATAATTTTATAAATTTTCAGATTCTATATATGTATGGGCTGTTCTATGCTGCTAGCCAAACAGAAATTTAGACAGATCTTTGTTGCAATTATTGTGTAAATACAGAATCTTCCATCCTGATGTCTTGAATCGTTCTCATGTTTAACTTTTTTCAGGGATGGCGACTTTTCGTCAACTGCTTGTAAGATTTCTCTCCCCCACAGAAATTGTTGATCCATTTTTTAGCTGCAGTTTGAGGAAGCAACCAAATTTGACCGGGTTGATAATGTTGTGATGCAGATCATGACCTTTTGGGACAACATGCAGTTTTCGCCGAACATACCGCAGTATCTTCTGCAACTCATCCCTGTCCATATATTGCTTACTTTGGACCTATTCATCCCTCTTCATCAAGTTCAAGTGCTTCTGAAGCTTCCAATTTCAGTGGTCACTGGAATGGCCCCCCATCAGTACCCAGTGAAGTACCATCTTCCTATGCATTTCCTGCCGTGGATCTTCATTATCAAAATTGGGAGCATCACTCACTGCCCTTTTCCACAACAAACAATCGTGTTGCTGGTGCTGATCAGCCGACGGTTGCATCCGTTGCCCAAAGATCTGCTACTAGAGTCGGTACTGAACTACCAAGATCCGGAATGCATCCTTTCCTTGTTGGTCATAGGTATGTCTTAACATAATTGGATATAATCAGTTGAACTTCTTAGTCTTTAACGTTACAGAAATACAATGCAGCATTGCCTATGTAACAACTCGAGCCCACCACTAGCAGATATTGTCCTCTTTGGACTTTCCCTTTCGGGCTTTCCCCCAAGTTTTAAAAAACGCGTCTGCTAGGGCGAGGTTTCCACACCCTTATAAAGAATGTTTCGCTCTCCTTCCCAACCAATGTGGGATCTCACAATCTACCTTCCTTCGGTGCCTAGCGTCCTTGCTGGCACACCGTCTCGTGTTCACCCCCTTTGGGTTTCAGTCTCCTCACTAACACATTGTCCGGTGTCTGGCTTTGATACCATTTGTAGCCGCCTACGTCCACCGTTACAAGCTGCCTTGTTGTGGAGGCAGTTTCCTTACCTCCGATACTGGTTCATAGCCGTGTGTACCACTTAATTGTTTGCCTATTGTAGTAGGACCTAAATCTTCTATATGACATAATACAGCCTTCAGTTATATTTGGCAAGCATCATGAGAAACAGCCCTATTCTCTTTTCTCAAACAGAGAGAAGCCCTTTAATTTGAACAATATCTTCTTTTGATTCACAGTTCCAGTGCAAGGGTTGGGAGTTCGGTTGCTTCCTCAATGATTCCTCCATATCCTGGCAGCAATGCACGTGCTCGTGACCGAGTTCAAGCTCTCCAAGCATATTATCAACAACCTAGCACTACAGGAAGCATTCGCGCACCTGCAATTTCTGGTGCCAGAAGATCAAGTAGTCACAGAGGGCTGTCACAAGCACCCATGGCCTCATCATCTGATCAACCCAATGGCTTCTATTTCTACTCATCCGCATCATCGGGTCATAATTTCCAACTGGAAAACACTGTGCCAAATCGTTTTCACCCATGGGAAAGAGATCACTTGCCTTCTTTCGGTTTGAACCAGATGGAAAGAGATCCAGGTTGGGGAGAGATTCATCAGGGGGCCGCCAGTGTTTCTGATCCAAGCACCAGATCCAGCAGCTTTCGTCAAAGGCATGGTCCCGAGAGGGCATCGTCGCAAAATTGGTCATAGACCAACCATCACATTTACTTACCGATTCCCGGTGAGGCTAAAACTATCACTATGATGACTTGAAACTGAAATTTATGTAATGATTGGGATGATATGTAATGGCCGAGTCGTTGATGTGCCGCTAGACTCTATATGCTGTGAGAGCAGCCGATAAGGAAAAAAACAAGCTCGCTTCGAGTTACCGATATGGTTAGTGTGGTGATGGACTTGGCTTCCTTGAGACTGTCTGCCCTGGAGGTTATAGAATAACGTTATGAATCGGATGGGAAAACTAAGATTTGTAGGTAACATCCTTTTCCTGTTTGTGTACGTGTTCGTGTTCATGTCCCATCCAATTCATAAGGATGTTGGAGTAACTTGGGGTAGCTCGGGAGGGCCAGATTAGTGAATTTGGTAAATTGTATTCTTGCAGTGATAGTTGAAAATATTCAGTGTTTATTTGTAAACAATGAAACGTGGTGGTTTCAGTAATGTATGAGCAGAACAGGACAGGTCAGCTTTTGGTTTTTGACTTCATCAGACTTCATGAGAGTGTTCATAATATATATATATATATATATATCTGAAAGATTCGGATCCTATCGTTTAATTAATTTCATGTCCCGTTCTTCTATTGATATTGATTTGATTCAAGTTATCATGCATTTAAACAGACCTGCCCAATATTTGGTAAATTACATAACTTAATCTATTGGTTAAAAAAAAAACATGAAGGTATATGAAAATATGAAATTCAAACTCATGTGACGTGCAAGAATTTAAACGATCCTATCATTTAATTAATTTCATGTCCCGTTCGACCGGCCCAATATTTGGTAAATTACATAACTTAATCTACTGGTTAAAAAAAAATATGAAGGTATATGAAGGTATATAAAAATATGAAATTCAAACTCATGTGACATGCAAGAATCACTCACCCACATTTAGAAGCCCGCTAGAATTGTGATAATTCAGACAAAAACAGAATTGTGATGCTGAGATTGTGGGGGAGAGATCATCATAAACCTCCAACCAAGATAAATGGAAGGTTAGTTTCGAGGAGGCAATAATAAGCAAAGGATAAATGGAAGGTTAGTTTCGAAGAGGCAATAAGCAAAGAGAGACCAAAAGAACGATTAATATAATAAATCAACGAGCTTTTACAGCCCTAGAACCCAGATCAATTGAATGAATGTATCCAAGACTATCCATGCAATGCAGCTGATGCATTGATCTTATTAGCGTAATAAGGCCACGAAGTATGGACCCTTCATTGTAAGGTCCCAAAGATGATCCATTCATTTGAGGAAGAAATTGGGATTTCTTCCTAAACTTAAAAAATGACAATAAGGAAGTAAATTGTTTATTAAATTTTGACCCGAGAAATTCATTTGGTAATTCTAAAGTGAAACATAACCAAGCAAGTACCAACGTACAAAATACACTGAAACATGGGTAGGGTCAAATACTAGTCACCCATAACACACACATTAAATCCAGCCCCCTCCAAATATACCCAACGCTAATCTCTCTTCTACGCTTTACAATCCCATCTCAATAACAATATGATCTATTCTGAATATCGGTCCCTGGAATCAACAGATCGGCTTCGGCTTCGGCTTCGGCTTCGATCAGATCTCCCCTGTTCAAGTCAAAAATCAAATCATGAATACAAAACTTCGGGAACAGATGCCATCTGAGTTTAGAAAAATATGCATGTCTGAATCAAGGATATTACATCAGGTGAAAGAGATCGGGACAGGCTTCTGGACTTGGAACGAGATCTGCTCCGATTCTGAAATTTCCTCTCACGACGCTGCAGCAATAAACAAAACAATGAGAACCAGAAGTGAAACCTTATCCATACACACAAGGAAATCCAGGAAAGGGGAAGGCTGCTTACAGAGGAAACTGGTGATCCTGATCTGGATCTCGACCTTGACCTGGAATCAATAACGAAAAGAATCTTAGGAATATCCAAAGAGAATTGGTTTCCAAGCTCAACAACAATAAATACATAGAAGACTGGTTTCCAAGCTCAATTCTTTCATCCCAGCCCATCAAGAGTTGATTATAAGTAAGAATTAAAGCAAATAAACACAGGCAGCAAAACAGTGAGAGGGAAGAACATTCGAACTATAACCCAAACTAATGTAGAATCGATGTACAGAGAACTAATTCTCAACGGAGCAAACACTAGTATTGCAACTCAACGAGCTTTTCCATTGTGTTGGCAGTAACTGGGAAAACATGCATATAAGGGAAGGGAAAGAATCATTATCATCGAGGATGTGTCTGGGTGCTCATCAACAAAACTGTATTACCTCAACAACCAAAGAGTTGAAAGAAGCACATTGAGCACCACATCCCTCAAGCCCCTAACAAGTCTCAATTATTCCGCAAAAGCCCATATCTAGCAAAAAACATAAACAAACGATGATGACTGCCCAAACCAATAAGCTTCTGTTTTGTTAACCCCGAGCATACCCAAAGGAAAAGTAAAAACATTTCTTTAAAAAACAAAACAAAACAAAACAAAAAAAAAAGAGGAAAAAAGTTTTGGGGAAAAAATAGCGACCATAAATAGGAAAATTGCAAATGAAGTGTATGAAATTCAAGAATCCTTGCATCATCAAAACAATGTCTACAAGCAGATTCTCCTGAACCCCATTGGTTGCCACCTATCTTTGCTTTTATGTGTTCCTTCCATTTACCACTTATTTACTCAAGAAGAGATGACTTCAGTGACTTAAGAACACTTATTATTTCTGATTGTGAGAACATTTCAAGAAAAAAATGAAAAACAAAGAAAGTGCCACCACACATTTTCCAACAAGAAACAACAAATGCCCTTACATTTGTCTACATCATGAAGAGACTTGATGACCACAAATCGGTGGTCCCATACAACAGGCAGTAAGCAAGCACAACTTTAACATATTTGTAGAGATGTCAACATATAAAGCTGTCCAGATTAAAGAGATATGGGAACCAGCACTGGGAAAACACAAGCCTAGACTAGACATCCATTTTATAAAAGAATAGCAGCACCAAAGCAACAGTGAATTCAGATACTGTTCTTAGGAAAGGAAGATTAAATCATAAGGATAAGGGAATTCCGCAAACCTTGAAAGAGACTTTGACTGGGATTGTTCAGAAATTGACGGCGACCGACGAGAGTGCTTCAGCCTTGGAGAAAGACTACAAAACAAAATATTGTGCCATTTTAATTTTTCATGATTCATCATTTTAATCTTTACTTTGCAAAACATACCTTGTGCTCCTGCCACTGTGACTATGGCTATGACTACGTCTAAGGCTTCGAGATTGACTTCTACTTCGACTCCGGCTTCTGCTCTGGCTCCGACCTCTTTCCCCATGAGGACTACGACTAGGACTTCTAGAATAATCACTTCGTCTAGAATCACGGGAAGGACTCCTGGAATAGCTACGCCTAGAGTCATACTCCTTCACCTGTGTGTATTGTTACACAAATTATTAGTAACAAAACAGAATTTAGCACACTAAATAAGCGTCCAATCCACATACCCGTACATACGCACGAGAAAAGGCATTTCGAAATTCAGAATCATCAAGTTTCCGTATCTGCAGAAATAAGCCAGATTACAAATGACAAACATAAATAACATATATTACCACACAAACGCAGAATATAAAACAAAGACTGACACCATTAAACATGAAGCAAATCTTCCAGAAAAGACATTACAAGTAAAACCGTCTAAAAAGCAACTTACAGCATATTTCATGTCATCATAGTTTGTATAATCTACTATTCCTGCCATCCCTGCACATATTTCAAGAAACAAATCCCTTATGAAGTGTTGAAGACTTTTTTTTTTTAACAAAACACAATTATAGATCTCATTAAATATAATTGATATAAATAAATAAATAATGAAAAAAGGATCTACCATCTCAATAGCAGGAAGTAAAAATAAAAGTTACGCCATCCATCAAGTCATTGTTGTCCAATTTCTATTTTGATCATCTCAATAGCAGGAGGTAAAAATAAAAATTGGATATCAGTAACTTGATGGAATGGCCAAAATACTAAAGCAGTTTCAAGAGAACCCGGAATTGACCACGAGATTTGTAATTTTTATGAGACATTATTGATCCAAATATGAAAAAAAAAAGAACTTTTAGTTGTGGCCCCATGTACTTGAGAGAGTTGTGGAATTCAGATCAATTGGGGCCTTACAACTAAACTAGTCGTGGAGTGGTTATTCTAGATTTCACTTCCTTTCTTTTTTTTTTTTTTTTGAGATAGAACCAATCAGGACACCCCGTACTGACCTCATCTTAATCAAGGCGGGAAGGTGTTTAGAAATAAGAATGATCTTTTCTTGAGAAAGAAAAAGTGAAGGTTGCTATTGGAATACTATTATCAATCCATGAGGATTTCTAAAGGTTAAACGTGCATTCCATTCCAGCAAAAGAAAAATAATAATAATACCACGAGTTCAAATGAAACTTGCACAGGGTCATATGTTAGAGAGAATAGGAGGACAAGTAAGTCAACATGACATACCACCACGATCACGGAAAACTTCAGAGAAGCAGACATCACCAGCACGACGCATGTGATCCTAAATTCGAAAAACAAACTACCAATTAGTAGAAAAGAGTGAAGCCATGTATTTTGCTTCTATTTAACAAGGTGGATATGATCGAACAAAGAAATGGAGAACTTAGCATAATAGTAGGTTATTTCCTGAAATAGAAAAATTGTGCTTACCTTCAGGTCTTGCCATGAAGCAGAAGGAGGTAATCCAGTGACCAAAACTGTACAAACAAAATATTATGACAACAGTATCATCACATTTTGACAGTAAAAGTAAATAAAATACATACCACGATAGTCAGTTCGCCGAGAAACACCACCACGGCTACTCCCACTACGACTATAATGATCTATTGAAGAGGAATGTCCCCTTCCACCATGCGCAAATTCCACCTACAAAACAAGCATCGCAACATCATATTTTGATACGTGGATAAGACATCATTGGAGAATAATTTCAGCAGGCGTGTGTTGCATATTACCCGTAAACGACATCCATCAAACTTGTATCCATCTCGGCCATAAATTGCATCTTCAGCATCACGAATATCTTCAAACTGAAAAAATAAGAAGACGATAAAGGTTTTCCATTAAGGATCACCAACAGCTCAGTGCAACTATTTAAATTTGTTAAACACCCAAAATGATAAGACGCCAATTTGAAGGGACTCCGATGAAAAATATTCCGGCCAGAGAGACTGGGTTCCAAAAGCGTCAAGATTTAACCTCACCTCCACAAAAGCATAGCCCGGTGGGCGTGGGGGAATCTTCAAATCAATGTCGACAATGGGTCCATACTGCAATTAAACTAGAATTAGTCGGGAAAAGCTGAGCAAAACATTAAAAAAAAAAAAAAAAAAAAA